AGGACTACACTTGATCGATATATTCTCATAGTATTACAGTGAAATTATCTAATTTGATATTTTTAAAAGGCCATGGTAATCTAAACATAGTGCAATCATCATTAATGGTTCATTCTCTTCTCATACAGATAACATTGTAGTTATATCATCACAACTGACTTAAGATTTGATTCATCCTTAGAATAATGAGGTTGAATTAAACTTGACTGACTAATCATGAGTGTCAACTTTTATAATTTTATGATCTTTGTGCAATGAGGCATAGGATTAATAGATGGTGCTTAAAGATATTAACTATTTTTATTTTAAGAGGCATAAAGAGTTTTCCATCAAATTCATATAATCTTGAAGCATTAACCAAAATCTATTGATCTGCATTAGATCATTCACAAAATTAACCTCAAGGCCAAATTTACATATTTATGATCGATCCTAATATGATCTCCAATAATATTAAGCTCAAAGCTTTTTTAATTCAATTCATTCATTCATTATCTTAAAGGGCAAGAAAGTCTAATAGATAGATTCAAATAGAGACTTTTGGTTGTAATTGGAATTACAAAATTAGATGAAAGAAAATGAAATGTAAAAGGAAATGATAAAGGTAATACATTAAAATTATGTTTTTTTTAGTATGAAGAAATTGTGTGGAGAATATCTTTTATTTTTTGTTTAATTGTTGAGAAATTGAATCTTGTATCATAAAAGGAGGAGATATATAAATCACAGCCATGTTTTAATAACCATTTTTTTATGTTTTAGGCTTCATTTGAGATAACGTTTTTATTACTTTCTAAAGACATTTTTTAGTACAAAAATTTCTCGAATTAGAAATTTATGCACTATAAAATTGTTTTAGAAGTCAATAAGAAGATTTTCCCAAATGAAGCCTTAAATAAGAGTAGAATAGGAATAGTTAATGAAAAGATGAATTTATACATTTGTTTGATAAATTTAATTAAAACCAAACATCATAAATAAAATCATCTTTTTTTCTCTTTTATTTAATATATTATAACTGGCCATATGTGCTGCATGAGAAAAGGCCAACTTTGATATTTTAATGATGAGCATATTTAATGCTTTAGATTTAATTCTGTCACTTTTTTATTCCTAATAGAGCCCCTAGAAAATTTGGACAATTTTGGAGGATTTTAATATAAATTCTAAAAAAGTTGGTCTTTGTAAAGCATACCATTGATGTTCTATGATCTAGACTTGGAAGATTATGATCAAAGGGGAAAACTATGAATCATGACCATAAGGGGAGGCCCATATTGATATATAGAGACTAGTGAAATCTTAAAATTTACTCTAAGTTGTAGTTTTCAAACTAAAAATTAATAATACCTTAAGTATTTTTAGAGTTATAGATATCAACATTCAAAATAAAGGATAAGTGGTATGGTTTGCAAAATTGATCCAATCAAACATGAATTTATGCATAATTTATTTTGTCCAAATAAATTAAATTTAAAGTTAAAAACTGTGAAAATTCTTTTAAAAGCCTCTTAAGTAGTATTTCAACAAGTTTATAGTCAAAATAATTATGTTTAAACTGCCTAAGAGATAGTCCAACATCACTCTTCTAAGAGTATTGCACTAACTAAAACCACAACAACCTTCATTTTCCACCTAAAAACCCAACCATTACCTTGATAGTAGTTTTAACCTACTTTTGGATCAAGGTAATATGCTTTAGATTGTGATGAATTCATCATAGAAGATTTGAAGATAAAAGTTCAAGAAGCTATAATGAACTCATTATGTGCCAAATCATGAACTATTTTTCACATATGATTGGTTGTGGGAGGAAGAATACCTTATCCAAAATGAAGAGTTTTGTTGCCATTTTATGATAAGCTATAACTTGGATCAAAATCGGCTTGAATTTATATGACTTTCATAGGCTTTTGATTTATGAAATAATTGTGGCATTAGATTACATTAATTAAGAAAAAGATTTTTTTTGCCAATAATGCCAATCACTAATATTTGTTGGTTATTGGAAACTGTCTTACACTTTTATAAAATTTTCTTGGCTGATTAGATTATAATTTATTTTTGTCAACTCTATTGTACTCCTAAAATTATGAGATTTAAGCGTGTATCATGTGTTCATTAATCAAAAACTTCAACATTGATGGTCAACATCAAGCCATCATTTTAATTATTAAAAATAAGTTGGTTTCCTAAAGCAAACTTAACCTAAGCAATCCCATCATGCCAAACCATGTGCAATATCACTTGTTCAATTTTTGAAAGAGAAAGTGAGGGATTTGAGTCATCTAGTATGGGGTGTTGATTTCATATATCTCGATAAAAAGTGTGAAATGCCGGTGATGAAATCTAAAAATAAGCTATATTTCCACAAATTCTAGATAATTCTTAGGGAGAAATATTGTATTTACATTAGAATACTATAGCATGAACCCTTATTTGAAATATCAAATTGTTAGTTTCTATTGTTATGTTGGTCCATAATTATTTTCGACTTCAACAATTTGTTGTTCTTTTATGTTAATAGGAGAAGGGCCACATCGATCATTTCCATGTGAATCTCTAACCACCACAATGTGCTATTGCATGCCCATGTGTATCTACTGGAATAACATCAAACACCTACTTCTCTGCACTAATGTATGACTACACTTGCCATTGTTGTTCGATGTTGAACATGAATGAAAATACCCACCTTTTTTTTCTTTTTTCACTAAGTGCTCATGTGCTAGTGCACACTTGCTACTTCTCAGCTCAAGTACATATGCACTAGCCACTACTACATACCACCACACTAACTTGTATACTAGCATGCCACAAGCACATGGGCACATCCTTACAACCTATAACCATATGCACCAACATGCACATATGCATGTGCATACCCATCGGCTAAAGCTAAATTCTTTGCTCCCCATTATCCACCACCATTTACTTATCCATTAATGTTTCCAATCATCAACAAATTCTGCCAACTGCTAGTTGATGTTATACATTTTCTCACATAAGCTCCAATCATTGTAAGTCAGTCAACATATGATTACCACCAATGTTCCATGATTAACTACATTGCTCAATCTCCCTTTATATCGAGAGAATGGCCAAATTAGATGCCAATTGTTGCTTTATTTTTTATGTTCACAACAAAGCATAAACCACACGCTACTCCAGCAGTTGGCATCCAAAATTCATTGCCTAATGTTTGACATCTAAGTTTCTAATGCTCACTTTCCTAGTAGCTTGGTCTCCTCTTCTATTTTGAGACTAACCAAGCTAAATTCCCACGGTCACTTGACTTTAATAATATCTATCATTTTTTCACATGATTTTTTTCAATGACTAATGTTTGTCATCCCCCAATAAAATGAGGTTCTATGGCCATTTTCAAAATTTCTTAGTCTCCCTTCTTATATGGAGAAGAACTAAGCCATCTTGACACAAATAACTAGGCTTGTCAATAAATGATGTGTGATATCTACCAACTACCAACATATGTTGCTTGTATTACAAATCCGCCTCTCTCCTCTTATTTAGAAAATAACCAAGTCAAGTGCCGTTCGACATTCATCACCTATTAAGAACTTCGACACCTTAGAAGTCCTCATCATGCCATCTATCAGATATCCACAATAACAACAACAGCAACAACGCAAATATTAAGCCTTTATCCACCACATTGGATCGGCTACATGAATTAACATGTTAAGAGTCAAATTCTCATTTAGATCTAATAAATAATTAAACAAAAATGATCAAATAAAAAATCCAAAATAGTTGTTCAACAGAGTTAGAATTCACAGCCTGTCTTCCTATCAGATATCAATATAATTGTCACATAAAATAGTTACTAATTTCAAAACGAGCAGGACCATATTTTTCTCTTTATTTTTTTCTGATATGCTTGGCCGGTGTCTGCTGCTGGTCTGGCCCCTTTTAATGTATTTATTTAATATGCTACACAGTTTAAATTTAATATAAATTTCATTTCCTTCTTAAAAAAATTAAGAAATGTTTGCTTATTCATCTCAGTATCAAAATTTTTAATCCACTGCAAGACTTAGTTTGCCCCTATGAAGTCAAATAAGGTGGCCTCCTTTTGTCTTCATGAAAGTAATGAAAGTAAAGAGGAGTTGCAACTAAAGTGGCACAATTCTAAACACATAAAAGAAATAAGAAGGTATTTGTTACTAAATTCTAATTAAATGCATTGCAATGCCTCATTTATTCGCTTATAAATAAAAAATATCTTTAAAAAATAATTTATTTTCACTCATTTTATAAAAAAAATTGTAGAATATTGCCCGAGCATTGAGCTCAATAAAATCCGCTATGAAATTCTAATTTATATGTAACTAACAGAGAGATTATAACGTGCGAAGTCCAGACATAACTTTTCGTCCGAATGCCAATCACATGAAGATATCTGAATTTTCTCTCTTTTGTATGTAGAGAGAAAAAATTTAGGAATAATTATTCTGTGCGGATGTCGAACACTGTTCGGAGAACAACCAAAATGTACCATATCACCTATGGCTCGGAAACATGGCTCGGTACTACTCAGTACACGGCTCGGTATTGCTCGATAACATTCGGTACCGCAGCTTGGTATGACGTGATGCATTTTGGTTAGTCTCCGCATAGAATTATTTCTCCATCATGAGATTGAAATTGGGATAGAATCTGGACTCTGCACGTAATAATTTTTCAATCTAAAGAGCCCTAATAAAAATTCAGGAACCCAACCAAACGAGAAAACCCTAAAAAAACTTCCAGCAGAACAGAAAACTGAAAGCAGAAGCAGGCATGTCCAACCACTGATCTTCTTACATTTCCAGCGAGCAGAGATAACAATCATTCTGATTATATACTGCAAATTCCAATATGAACCTTCCAAACTAAAAAAAAGTTTAAGTAAAATATAAGCAGTGGAAAGCAACAGAAACTATGAGCAAAAAAAAAAATTCTATACATCTGAAGCAGCACAGAAGAAAGCAATCACAAGCAGAAAAACAAGTCGGATTACATAATACCGCTCCTGTGATGGCCAATTTATTACCCCAAGAATTATGAACAAAAACAGAGATTATGAAAACAAAAAGAAAAGTCTGATTCAAGCAAAAAAGAACAATCATCCTGAACACAAGCAACATAAAATTCCTATTTCTGCAAATCCAAAACAAAGGCAAATACAAGAACAAAGCAGCACAGGAGAAAGCAATAAAGAAGAAGCAAGCAGGCCTGATCAAATACTAATAGTCTTCCCCAATATCTTCCTTTCTGCCATCATCGATTGCTGGGAATTCATAGCCGATGGGTCTTGGCCTTATCATTCTTGCTGAAAATTCCACAAAAGCCACAGCCAGAGAGCTTCGGAGAGGGAGGGTCAAGTGCCGGTGAGACTCTGCCGGTCCGGTAAGGCCGACCGCCGGTCGATAGGTTTCGCTTCATCGCACCGATTGTTCCAACACTTTGCGATTGTTTTGGATCATTCGAATCCACCAATTCTTCCTTTGGCTTTGTTGTGTTCATCTCATCTTGGAGGAATCTGTCCTCCCATACTAGTCCTGATGATCCTGACCTCCTGAAAGTTTCAGTGGACCTCTGTAACCCAGCCATCTATGGATTGCTACCACTCTTATCCCTCGCAAAGAAGAAGGATAAGAGCTTGTGGTAGGGAAGGAGAAGACCTTGTATATGAAGGGGAAGGTAGAGAGAAGCTAAATTGGATGGTGACATGAAGTAATTAAAAGAGAATTAGAGAGTGACAGGAGGATTTATACAGTAGCCTGCCATAATATTATAGAAAGGAGTGATAATTTGGATTAACAGGAGTAAAATTTTATAACCATAATCATAAAAGGGGTAATTAGTCAAGTTTAAATTTATTAAAAATTACAGAAATATATTAGGGAGAAAAAAAAAGGGACAATTAAAGGGTGCCCATAATTCTGAGAATCATAAATCAATTCACTCATTTGCATGCTATACCACCCTCTAAAAAATAAGTATTTATAGAGATATGAAAACTTCTAATAAATCATTAAATATAATAATTATGGGGCAAACACTAATAAAATACGACAAATAAGAAAAATTATTTTGTGCGGAGGCCGGATGCAACTCTATGTCTGGAGGCGAATCAGGTACAACCACGTCAGTAATACCGAGCTGCAGTAGCGAGTTGAACTGAGCAGTATCGAGTCGCGGGTACCAAGCAGAGGGGTGACATGACGTATTCTTATTGGCCTCCAGATCACGTTCGGTGTCCACACTGAATTTCTACGGGAAATTAAGACCCATGATGATTGATCAACTCATCATAATTGCTCATTACAGTTATCACACCATTCTAATCATCTTTCCTCTCATTGCTCTTTTTTTTTTTTTTTTTTTGAAGATTGCAAAGATGCATTAAAGACTAAAAGGAAAAAGATACAACAAGTTCAAAGAAAAGCAGCCTCAAAATCCTTCTTCAAAAGACATAATAGGGAAGAAGGAATATCGGCAGAAGAAACAGAATCAAAAAAGAAATCGTTCTTCAATGCAAGAGTTGCGCATAAGTCAGCAACTTTATTACCATTCCTATCAGTATGTTGAAAAATCACCTTATTAAAGTCGTGTAAGAAGTAGAGCTTCTCGGTGTCTTGACCAGCAACGGCATTCTTCACGACAGAGTTATGTAAAAAATTGATAACATTGTAGTTATCTCCCTCTATAATCAGTCCTTTACAGTTCAGTTTCCAATCCTGGATGTAATCTTTCAGAGCGTAGACTGCTTCCAATTCTAGTTGATTGATATCCCAATGTAATCTCTTCTTTCCAAATGCAAGTAGTAAATTTCCTTTAGAATCCCTTGCTGCACCGCCAATACTTGCTAAGCTAGAGTCCAGGAGTGATGCATCAACATTAAATTTGATCCAATCTAGTGGTGGGGGATGCCAAGTAGTACCGGACTCCATTAGGAGGTTAACATCCCAGTTAACTAGAAATTGGAACTTGTTAGTGGCAGCAAATATCACATTTGCAGCAATCACAGAAACAGGGGAAGCCGGATTGCAATGCTTCTTGTCATTTCTGCGGTTCCAGGAGTAATAAACTGCCGCGCAGTAAAGCCTAACAGTATCATGTCTTTTACAGGAAAGCATTTTAAGATGTTGGAAGCAATCATCAAGAGAGCTAAATAATGGAATGTAGAATCCCCAAGCTCTCACTTTATTCAAAATCTCAGTTAGAGACTTACAACGAATTAAGATATGTTCACTGGTTTCGGTATCCAGGCAACCATAAGCACAAAGATCATTAGTAGTTAGCCTTCTGTATTTCAAAAACTCATTCGTTGGAATGGCAAATCTGCTCAAACGCCACCAAAAAAGCTCAACCCTTGGCTTAAGCTTCAACTTACGTAGCCAAATAGCAAAGCCATGATCTTCAAAGGTATTCTGAAATTTAATCACTTCAGCATATGCCAACAAAGTGATTGATTTGCCTGAATATTGGTAAAGAAGCTCCATACTATCATTGTCATCATTCTGGATGATACAATGTGTAACAATGAGTTTGACTAAATCTGGATTGAAGTAGCGGTTGAGTTCAGTATAATTCCAAAGACCGTCCTTAAGAAAATTCTGCAATGTAAGATTTTCCAAACCAATACAATACGAAATCAAGTGCTAGACATTGATAGAGATGGAGCATAACAACCACTGATGTTGATGACCAACAAGAGTATCATTGTTAGAACCCATACAAACAAAATGATAAATATGTTAAGATAATTAGACAACTTTAGAGCTTCTCTAAACCTTCAGTAGTACACTAGGAAAGAAAAGATAAGTAGTTTAAAAATATCCAAAATTTAAAAAAAAAAAAAAAAATCCGGGAAGAAAAAGAGGAGATTTATAGCTCAATTAAACTAACTATATGCCCTAATTCTCCCTAATGAAAGATAATTAGATCATACAAATATTTTTTTTACTCTTTAAACACTTACTAACTACTAATTAACTATGATTATCAACTCATAATGATCTTCATTTGCTCTAGCCGACTAATGAATAGCTTTTAGATCTGCTTGGATTTGATACAGTTAGTAAAAGTCGAGCTTATCCCAAAGTGATTTTGTCTTATTATTAGTTGAAGTTTGTGGACTTTTCTTTTGTTTATTGGTGGCTGATTCAGCCTGACAATCCAATAAGGAAGTGTACAAAAGTGTGCGATTAGTTTAGAAAAAATATGGCTCCAGAATATTCTTATTAAATTTTGTTCATAAATAAAAATTAAATTATTAATATTATATTATATAATTCAAAAGAAAAATAAGGGGTAATAGATATTTATTTTATTTATGTTTTTTTTTAATTTTATATAATTATTAACTGATTTAAGTTATTTTAAAATATAAATAAATATTCTTACAAGCAATTCCTTTTTTTTCTTAATCCAGAAGAAAATAACTTATCAAATTGTCATTTAAATCAGAAGCTATTTACTAATTAAAATTTAAAACACAAATTTTCTCAACAAATTTGAAAAAAAAAAAAAATCTTCTCCCATTTTAATTTTTATACTCTACCGACCAAAACGTGGAAAGGTCTTTCAATTCAAAATTTTAACTATTTTATTTCATTTTTTAAATACAGAGTCTAAAGCTCCAAAGTTAAGAAATAAGAATATTACCTTTTTGCACTTTATTTGCTTCTTTATTTGTTTTTCTTAGTTTTATCCTTCCATTCTTTTTTTCGTTATCTTCCTATTTCTTTTTCCTTTCCGCCTTTTTTTTTTTAATGGCCATGAAGTATAATTTAGATTTCGTTTGGGACGATTTTATTAATGTTTCTTAAAGCAGATTTTTAGTATAAAAATTTAATTTTTATATAAAAAAACTATTTTAAGAAATAGTAATTTTTGTACAATAAAAAACTACATTAAAAATAGTAAGAAAACCATTTTAAAGGATGCTTTAGTGTTGGATGTAAATTTATTCATAGATGTCGATATTGTTGTAAGATTGATATATAAGAATTGAAAAACTATATTATATTCGAGTGAGTATGGAGAGTTATGCTTCGTTTGAGACAGATTTCTTATTATATTCTAAAGTAATTTTTTAATAAAAAAAATTTTGAATTAGAAATTTTTTTACTAAAATATTGCTTTATAAAATAATAAAAAAGTTACCCCAAATAAAACCTTAGAGAAAAGATTTAGAGTTTGTAAATAAAATTCACAAGTAACATGAAGAAAAAGATTTAAAGCACGCATTTTCATCATTTATTTTGTAAGACACAAAGTAGTGCAGGATCTGCTAAATCTTAAAAAGGAAAATTAAACTCATGCTGCAATTATTATGATTATTCCTTACGATTCCACCTGCTCTCGGCTGGAATTTTTATTAGGTTCGGACACCTGATGTAGCTCTACATCCGGACGTCAATAAAATATCACAACGTGCTCTTACTCTTTACCGTGCGGCCCGATGACCTGACCCGGAACGGAAACCCGATATTGCTATGTTCGTGTATTGCTAGGTATTGCTCGGTATTGCTAGGTATTGTTTGACAATAATGAGAAGTACCTCTATGTCAAGAGCAATACCAAACAATAACTAGCAATACTGAATAATACCTAGCAAAACCGGGGTATTGCTCGGTATTGGTCTTGACTGAATGATATTTCTCGTTACCGAGCAATACCAACCAAAACCTAGCAATACCTTGGTCTGTACAAATCAGCTAATACATAGTAATATTGGGTTCCGGTCCGGGTCGGGTCGTCGGGCTGCACGGTAAAGAGTAAGAGCACGTGGCGACATTTTATTGACGTCCAGATGTAGAGCTACGTCAGGTGTCTGGACCTAATAAAAATTCTCTCGGCTGAGACACCCAACTAAGCCTTCATTTGGGATAATTTGTTTTTTTTTTAAGTACAAAAATTTTTTAACTACAAAATTTTATACTAAAAATTTATGCTAGAAAGCAATAAAAAAACTGTCCCAAATAAAACCTAAGTTCCCTAAAAAAAAAATTGTTCCAAATGACCATTCATTTTTTTTTTTTTTTTTTTTAGTAATCTTATCTCAACAATTCAAGTATATCTAGCTAACTCTTATCTCTACCATTAGATACATTACTCTTAAGATATAAATTTCATCTCTGAACTGTTTCCAAAAAAGAGAGTAAAATACGTTTTGTAGCATCAGTAAAAATTCCAAATGTTTTTATGTGTTTCTTAAATTTCTATTAGTTATCTTGTTGATGTGTTATAGTAAAGTTTTTATGGTATCAGAGCTTTATCAGCTTCACCACTTCATTGTATTTATTCATCACAAATGAACACCTCCGACATGGCAGCTCCATTGGAGTCAACCGGGAAAACTAGCAGTTCTAGTTCTCTGGTAGCTGAGCTTCACATTCTAGCTCGATTAATGGTCTTTATGAAAGGAAATTATTGGGTTCGGACACCTGACGATGTTTGGAGTCCAATAAAAATGCGCCACATCACCCACTACTCGGTACTGAGCTCTGTATTTGCATGGTACTCCACAATACCGAGCAGTACTGAGTTCAGTGTTACTCAGTAATCTGAAGTACCGAACAGGAAACTTGTGTCTGGTGTCCGAACCCAATAATCTCTCCCTTATTAACAATATGAAGGGTAGTATTATAAACTCCACTGTTACTATAGAAAACCATATTGTCTGGCGT